CCTAAGATCCTCCGACTCTTTGGTATAGTTTTCATCATATAATTTTGGCTACTTTTTCATTAAAAACAATATTTTTATTAACCGCCGTTTTTTTCTTAACACCCTGTATATCAAAAAATGAAATTTGGCTCATGATGATCTTTCTTATTTAGTAAAAGATATTTTAAACACGTGACTATAACAAATTATTAAAAAATGCAAACCGCGCACATGAGGGAAAAGTTAGAAATGTTAAAAAAACAAGGTCAAATAATAAATTGAATAAAAATTTAGAATATGCATCAAGTGAAAGAAGACTCAGGTAAAGAAATTGATTATATAAAAGATCTATAGGGTATGGATAATCTGCATTATAGTAAAATTCGAATTTACATAGTCAGTCTATTACTATTACTATGTTTATACACGCCAAATTTTTACTAAATAAAGGAATTTTAGCAAAATGCAACTAACAAATAGTCTTTTAATAGAGTTTAGGTTCAATAAAATTGCCTATATGAATGGGCTAAAGTTGTTACTTGCAATAATGTAGCAGAAATTATTACTATTACCAATAGGCGGGCGTTTGAGCAATTTTTCAACGCCGCTTGTTTACTTTGTTGCAAATTATTTATATAATAATAATAAAATTTTATTTTTTATTTAAAATACAAAATTAAATAAAAAATAAATAAAAATAAATAAATTAAAAATTAAATACATCAAAATATAAAAAGAACAAATTTTTTACTATATATAAAATATACAATATTTTTTAATTTTTTTTTAAATTTCTTCGATTTTTTTGTCTCGATATTTTCTTTACATGATAGAGCAGTAGTTTGTAGCATTTTCAGGTTTGTTGGTGGCACCTTTTGAGGTGGTAGTCGAGCTGACGATAGTTTGAGCGATGGCTTGAGTTGATTTCATTTTTGTAAAAATTTGTTATTTTTTAAATTTAAAATTTGTTTTTTTATATTTTTTACTCTTCAAGAGTGTATTTAATTTTAATTTTATTTTTGTTTTTGGTTTTTTGTGTTGGAAAAAAAATTTGAGACGAAGAAAGATTGTATATTTATAAGAAATTTTTCTTTGAATAATATTATTTAGACAAACTTTTCAATAACACCAAAAAATGCTTAATTTGTTTAATATAAAGTTTAATTTCTTTGATAAAAATAGTAATAATGAATAGCAAACAATGCAACAAAATGCAACTTCCCTTTATTCGTTTCAAACGAATTCAAAAAATAAAATAATGCAGCTAGCAATATGAAAATCGCGTGATTTGTTTGCGAGTTATGATCAGGTGGCGTCACATATTAATATACTTAAACGACTATTCATTCTATTATAGTTATTACCGTTTATGGAAATTGTCGTGAAAAAAATTCCATAATAATATAATAATAATAATAATAATCGAAATCGGTCCATACTAGCACGGAATCTCTACAGACTGATTACGAAGCCACTGAATTTATTCAGCCAATCACAATCCTGACCCCAAAAATAGTTCAAAATTCTATTTTGCTTTGTCTTTTTATGATTGGATGTCTAGCCTTTAATTCACTCGTTAACTTTTTGACAATACCGAGATGCTTAATATTGTTTAATGTAAAGTTTAATTACTTTGATAAAAATAGTAATGGTGAATAGCAAGCAATGCAACAAATGTAACTTCCCTTTATTTGTTTCAAAACAAAATCAAATAATAATTGAAATACAAAGCAACTGCATTTATTGGCTAATCATAATTATGAGTTCAAAAATAGTTTTTGATCGTTCAAAGCTTCCATCTTTCTTTTATTTCCGTCTTTTAATAATTATGAACGTCTATTCCTCTTAATACTCTTCCAATACTTATCATAAATGGGGTTGCTTTACTGCCTTTTCTCACGTTCTTGTATTCCTTAAAGTAACATTATGCATCTCTGAATGGAATTTCATAAAATCCCGGTTTTTTGCTTATATGTAGTTTATATCAGTCCTTATATGGCAATAATACTAGAAAGTAACAATTGATGAATAAATTCATCATATGCAAGTAATTAATCATTATAACCACTCGGTCCATCAGATAAAACATTAAATTCCTTAACGAGACATTGTGCATTTACAAAAGAAAATTTTAATTTTATAAAATATGTGTGTAATCCAGTCCAAGTAACAATTTCATTTAAATGTTTAGCGTTTCAAAACAAAGACCAACAATAAATGTTAAGAAAAAGAAAAGTTGGATTTATTATTTTGTTACTTCTCTAGCACACAATATACCATCAAGCCAAGTTTATATCGGGTTGGGGTATAAATATGTTAACAAACGGCTACCATCTATTTTTATAGTGCAAATAGTTGGACATTACAACTTTACTCTAAAATGTATTATTCTTGACGGCTTCAATAGTCCAACCCTCCGCTGGTAGAAAAAAACGTAATTCACGAAATTTCACATAGTGAAATCATCGAGTATAACAACCGTTTTACAATATTTTTACAACGGTTTTACAAATACTAGTGAAATATTAGTAAAACTATGTTATACTCGATGTCTTCACTATGTGAAATCTTTGTGAATTACATTCTTCTACCAGTGCTCTCCCCAAAATATTTATATTAATCAAGCGTGATATTATCGAGCTATATTAAATTCTTATAAATTCGGGTTAAAAAAAGGTTATCAAGAAAATTATATGCAAAAGTTTAGGAAATCTAAAGGATTTTGATAACGCTATTTACAGAGTAATAATAATTGAACTGTTATAGTTCCCAAATTTTACAGTCGGAACTCGTTAAACCGATGTACTTGTTTTGAGCTCAAAAGCATCGTTTTATCAAACATTCATTTCATTAAGTAGTCTTTGATAAAAATTCAGTTTAAAAAAAGTTATACATCAAAATTTATATATTTGTCTATACTATGTTGACGTGCTAGCGAACTTTTATATAATAAAAGACCACTTATAACGAATTTTAACATGTCTTTGTTCGTTGGAGTAGGTTTCGATTGTTTTAGAACACACATTTCTCTTTTTTTCTTTTAATGCAGTAAACATTTGTAAATCATTTATAAAATTATACAAAATAAACAATGATTGTCTTGAACATTAAAAGTGAAACAATAGGAATATTGTTGATTTTTGTTATAATAGGTAAACTAGAAAAGCTTCGCTATAACAAAAATTCATTTTATCGAGTTCCGAGTGTGTGTACATTTTTTTACAAATTATTTTTTAATTAATATTTTATTTTATTTTGAAAAATTACTAAAAATATAAAAATACATTATGACGATTAATATTAAAAATTAAATTTACACATTACACAATTAATAATAAACAAGTAATTAATTAATTAAATCAAAAATAAACAATGAAAATTATTTGAATTTGTAGAGTTTTCCGTTTTTTTTTTTAATTGCTTCGGTATTTTTTCTTTACATAATAGAGCAGTAGTTTGTAGCATTTTCAGGTTTTCCAGTGGCACCTTTTGAAATGGTGTCTGAGCTGACGATAGTTTGAGCGATGGCTTGAGTTGATTTCATTTTTGTAGATTTTTGTAAATTTGTTTTAAAATTTAAATGTTGTTTTTTCTTTTGTTTTTACTCTTCAAGAGATATTTTGTTTGATTTTTTATTTTTGTTTTGGTTTTTTGTGTTGGAAAAAAATTTTTGAGACGAAGAAAGATTGCATATTTATAAGAATTTTTTGTCTTTAATTCAATTCTAAAAATATTAGAAATATTGGGACAAACAATAATTAACCGTTCTTAACAATACTCAAATTAGGCTTATTATTATCATAGACAAAATTTAAACAATCGAATAATACTATTTGCTATGAATAAACAATATATAACTTTAATATGACGTTTCAGGAAAAAAAAAATAGTTTCGGAACCGGGAAAAATATTTTGTACTCGTATTATTCATGAAATCCATATGGGTTAGATTACTAATTCCTATTGTATACAAAATTTTTAATGAACATCACAAATACTCAATATAAAGATTGCATCATATTAACCATTATCACCTAATTTGGTTATTCTTCAAACATACAAGTATCAATGCTTTATTATTCCAGAAATGTACTACATTTAGACTTGATTTGGATTCAAATGAAGAATGCTAAATGTCCCAATAACAATTATGGAATGAATAACTTATTTTATTGTTGGTTAATAAATTAAATGAGCTCCAGAAGGCTATATTTAATATTTTCCTTAATTCAATATAGTCGTCAATAAACAAGACCATATGTCTAGAATATTTTCCAAGAATGTACAGAAAGCTGTTCCATGAAATTGGTTGTATATAACTCAATTGATTTTCTGTTGACTTAACGATATAGAAATAAGAAACTTCTAAAAATCATTTAAACTATCTGGAAGACTTTATTGTTGTCAGGATGATATAATAATATGTTAACAAAGACAGATTAACTTACTACAAGCAAAGTCATTTTCTTCTGACTGTTCTATAGTTCGACATACACAGGATGAGTTACATAAAGCCCTTGCATCATGTAACATAACATAAATGCCTTTGGTTATCTTTTGCAACAACGATTGATTCTATATATCCTACAGGATCAGTAAATATTGTCGTTCTTCTTTTGTAATTGCACCATTAGCTTTCCATTCTTTTCATAATGCTGAGAAACCAAAAAAATAAATTAACCAACATCGCACAAACAGTATATCAAACATTTCAATATAAATATTCAAGCTATATTCCTCCCATAAAATCAATTCCCAGCACTTTTTTGAAAAATAAGTTAAATGACTCCATACGTGTCGTGGACCATCACTGCGATTTGTGCTATATCACGTAACAGTAAGATAAGTAGTCGTGAAACTTGAAGCTCTTGAAGTTGCTGGTGAAAATTCTGAATACATCAAACGAAAATACAAACTTTTTGATCTTATTTGAAGGTAAGTTGATGGTGATCAAACTTGGGTATTGGGCTATGTACTACACACGGAAGAGCTTGTAAGCAAGAGTTATGATGAGTATATAGATGCCTTACGACACAGCATTAATGGTTGCAACCGGGGACCTCTTTTCTTATACAAAACTATTCCTTAATCGAATAATTATCTGATGCTGCAGTGATTGAGTCATATATTTAATGTTAGACTTACCATCTTAATTATGTATATTACAGGCAGATAACGGATTTGACGATGTGAGTGCTTTAATACGACTTGGAATGATAAGAAAGGTAATGTCGTCTGATGGCAGTTATATAATATTTTATACCTTACAAGTGTTTAGACTAATGAGTTACTTTTGTTATAATGAATGGCTAAAGAAATACGATGATATCATTCCAATGAAGTAGAAAAACGAGTAGATGAGAAGGCTATTGGTAATGACCTGTATACTTATTATCTGTTACTTTATCATAATATGCCTTATCATTATTGACTATTGTCCTCATCATGCATCAAGGTCGCCGGTAATGATGAATATGGTTTTCAAATGCACCAAGAACTAGCTCATAATGTTTCCACCGTAGATAGAGGTTCTATATCGTGGGATGACCCACTCACATCACACACGCGGTTTGGGAGAACCCGTCTTATGTTGAGGAAAATCATTGGAGGGAGATTAACGGAGGTCATATTTCTGTTTGTATTTGATGCTTGTTCTGAAGACACTATCAAACAGAAAACGGTTCGCCTTACTTGGTAAGCGGCCAGCATTCTTTTTAGATTTTCATTGCGGTGTTTCCTAGTATGTGTTATGTTGTCGTTTATTAGTATTGAAGGGATTTCAAAATAAATTGGAACACAGTACTGAAAAACGAAGAAAAGCCACCGCCGCCTGGTGTTGAGAAAAGCTTTTGGTTTGAAGCAGTTAGCCATGACACTGGTCCATTGGATCAATGAACCGGTCTATTTCCAACCCTGAGTTGAACCTGATGCAACGTTAGAAATGTCATCCGATGATATTGAACTAGAATTGATGTACCTTGAAAGTTTGTGGATTTGTCGTGACATTCATTTTATTGATTTAAAATTGTATAAATATATGCAATACAAAACATAATCACATAAACAATTTCAAACCATTTACAATGCACGACTCCCTCGTGTTACCATAAAGGGACTATAATCATTATGAACAAGATTACGTTGTTAAAAATAAAAAAATATTGATTATGTGAAACTTTTAAGGGAATATAATACAGGCTCACAAAAGGCGTGGCCTTACCTCGGAGTTTGGAATCGTGGGACTACAAGTTGCTGGTATTTATGTTTCTTTGGATTTTATGCTCATGTGATTTTCATATTTTTCGCGGATTTAGATTGCGTCTAAACACGCTAGTAAGAGAATTACATGACACTCACAGTCGAGATCACATTCACCGAATATACCACCAACGAGTTAGTCGAGTTGTTGCTTATACTTGGGGTATGTTCCTTGAAATCTATGATTTTTGTGAGTTTATATTTTGGTATGTAATAACTTGTTAATCGGAACATTATCAAGGTGAATATAGACAGACATATATAGTAAAATATTGTGTAATTATTTATATTTATCATATTTATCTGTTGTTCTGGTTTGAATATCTATAAATTATGTTTAGCTCGATAACATTTAAATCCGCGTGATAATAAGCCATTAAGAGCACCGAACGCGTCCATACTACACATAAGAACAAAACAGCAGCAATATTTATTATATATTAGACAAAAGGAGTTATGCTCGTAAATGGTTAATTAGTGTTTCGTAGAGATATCCTTCCTTATAATTAAAACCATCAACGTATATAATATTTTTTATTTCCCAAAGGCTATATTATTTATCCTAGCATGGGCTTAATTCATAAAGAACTAATTACTATTTTGATAATTAGAAAAAACAGAATTCTCATTATTTTTTAAAATCTCAAAAATAAGAGCTACTATATAAAATTTTTTTATATTTTGAGATTTTTTCTATCAGACACATAACGCGAATTTGTGTGGATTCAAACAGTGTTCGTATTGAATACATCAGTACTAGAGGAGTGAGCCGGCTTTTTGAAAAAAAAATATTACATATAATAATAACTTATTTGCAGTCAATCAACTTAATCGTGGTGGGTTTTTGATCTCATGTACGTAAGATGATCGGATCAATCTTAAAAATAAAGCTTTAATTCAATGTTTTTCATCTGGAGAGACCTTTCTTTGCATCAATTAATCGATTGATAAATTTGTTGAGGATAAAGGTGTGTGATCTTGTGACAACATCTAAATGATTTTTTAATACTTTGGAAGTTAGAAAGTCATAAAACATCTTATAGAAGGGAGAGTAAAATATAAATGGATGGGATTTCTGTGTGCAATCTCGTAGTAAGAAGGATTGGGAGTTGCTTGAATAAGAATAATTACATTTTTGACAATTTTATTCAATCTCCAAATAAATTCATGGACTTAATCTGAAAGTGTATTAAAGAATTCAATAATATAAAATTTTAAAATTTTTATGTTTTTCATGTTCTATCTAAATCTAACATATAATAAATCTTAAAAAAACTAATTTTAAACCTTAACTTTAAATAATCTTATTAAAAAAATATTTGTACATATACAGTATATTAAAAATTTATACTGTTTATAATTAAAAAAAACAATTATACAAAAAAAGATTCTGAAATGAAAACCATTAAAATGTCAATCAATAAATAAATAAAATAAATATATCTACATATTATTATTTATTATAACTAGGTTTGTATCACGGATACCGTGAATACCGTTAAGGGGGTACACACTATTAAAACACCAAACCTATGTGCCCCCTTATGGTATCCGCCTAAATTATAACTATAATTATTATCATTAATATTAATATTATTATTATTATTACTACTATATTATTAAGATGCTTGTATGCTATTTTGTAAAGGTAATCCAGTTGTTGATATACTATTACTTATATCCATACCATGTGAATTACTAATACTAAGATTAATATTACTATTGATATTATCAACAACATCACCACCATTATTAGTTGCTCCCTCTTGACTTTCCCTTTCTTTTTGATTAGCTAGTTCAACAGCAGCAGGCTTAACCCATTCAGGTGGATCAGACACGCACCTTGTAACTGGATCTACCCAACCTTCGTATTTCTCAAAAACTGTATAATCAAATGGCTTAAATTTTTCTTCAATTAATTGATATTGGGCTTCCTCTTTTTCAAAATAATCTATAAATAACAAAACATCAAATGTATTATTATTACAACAATTACAAGTACACAATTATTATCATCATCATCATCATCATTATCACTATTCTTCTTCTTACCATTATTACCATAATCCTTGCGACGTCTAGATTTTCTTTTACGTGATGGTCTACAGTCAAGCGGTTGTTCCTCAAGTAGCAGCTCTTCCAAATCGTAAGTCGCATCAAAATTTATTTGATTTGATGAAGGACAAAAAACTGGATTTAATTTTTTCGTTTCTAGTGAAGGCCAATCAATATTACGAAAAAATGGGTGATTTTGGATTAGGGCAAATCCATTCATTCCACAACCTAATCTTTTACTAATATCACGCTCTAGAAACTATGTTTTAATTACATTCATGAGTTAATTATAAATATATCCAACTAATGATGAATTAATTAATCTGTAACCATTAAATATGATTCTAATTAGTAATAGCGAACAGTACTTACACCTTGGATGGCCGATATACAAGTTGGACTTACAGGTGGATCCATGTCAGGATATTTTATTGGTGCTCTTAGAATCATTTTTTTTAGTTCTTCTTGATTATCACACTCAAATGGTCGCTATATTCAATTCAATCAATAGAATAATATAACGATTAACATTAATTCATTAATTAACCAAATACAAATATTGACCAACATACCCCTCCATATATGCATTCATAAAATATAACTCCTAAAGACCACCAATCTACCGTTACGCCATATCCACTGCCTTTAAACACTTCTGGGGCTTTAATTTAAAAATTTAAAAATTTAGATTTAGATTTAAAAATTAGTTCATTCACACATTATAATAATATATTATAATAATATATTTACCCATGTATGCGCATGTACCAGAATGTGATGTTAATGGTTTGTCATGTCTTATATGTGTTGCAATATTAAAATCTGTCAAGTGTACATGTCCTCGATCATCAAGCAGTACATTATCTGGTTTAATATCCCTTTTAAATTAAAATAAAAAAAAAATATGGATTTTGAATTTAACTAAACCCTATACACATAAATCTACATATAATTTTACCTCCTCTAAAATCAAATTTTACCTATGAACTACACCTTTAGAATGTAAATATCTTGTAGCGCAAGCTAATTCTGCTATCCAAAATTTTATTGCATCTTCTGTGAATGTTTTACGATTTAAATGAAATCTTAGATCGCCACCCATCCTAATAAAAAAAAAAGAATCATTATCATACTATATCAATTAATAATTCTTGAACACATAAAATGATAAAATAATAGAAAAAAGAAAATCAAAATTTTTTTTTCCACCTTCTTTCCCCAATTAATTAATTATTCTTATTAATTATAAATACATACATTAGATCCATGATCATATACATATAATCATCATCTTGAAATGCAAATCGTAAATTACAAACTAATGGATGATCTAATTCCTCCAACATTAAACGTTCTCTAAGTACATTTCGTAAAGCATCCATTCTAATACATTCTTCTTTTGAAATATATTTTAGTGCGTAAAGTTTTTTATTATCACGTCGTTCAACTATTCGGACCTTTCCAAATGCACCTCTACCAACAACGCGTAATAATTTAAATTGTGAAAGATTTACTATAATTTCGTTATTATTATTATTATTCAAAAAAATCCATCATTAATATCAATATAAAGGATAATATAATTATTGAAATCAAAATTAAATTAACAATGGAAATTTTCATAAACCTTCATCGTCGAAATCTACATCGTATTTGCCATTTGTAACTCCCATATTAATTTTTTTTTTTATTTCGAATTATTGAATTATTGAATTATTAATTGTAATAATTAAGTGATTAAATAATTAATATATTGATTTCTCTTCTATCTATTAATCTATTTATATTTATATATTTATATGGTATAACAATTCTACCGAAAGAAAGTTAAAAGTTTTTTTTGTATTTAATAATAATAAAATTTTGAAAAAAAAAAGATAAAGGCAAAATGTAAAAAAAAAAAATTTCATTTCACACCTTTATAAATTTTTTTTTTATGAATTATAAATTTGATGATTGTTTAAACAAAATTTGTATTACAATCGATCATCTACCAGATTTAAATTTTCGTACTACCATGTTGACTTTTTGGTACATATTATTGATGAGATAATGGTAAATTATTTTCCAAATTTATAAATTAAAATTTATTTAATATACATGAAACAAATTTGACATTGCTTTTTAATTAAACGTTTTCTTTTTTTCAATTGAAATATTCTAACTTTTCGAAATGTGCATAAAAGAATGCCATGTGTAGTGAATTCACACGTTCCACGTTGAAATCGAAAATAGAAGAAAACAAAGAAAAATAATTCTTTATAATTCTTTATATATTTAGCATAAATAAATAATAATAAAGAATCAAATTCGAAAATTTTTGGGTTTTAGAATTTATCCGAATTATTATTATACATATAATAACAAAACCATTTTGTATATATTTAATATTCATAATATTAATTAATATTACAATCGCGTATCAAAAAATATTACATTTTAAATAGATATCTTTATTTTAATGTTTCCAAATATGGAATGGTTAGTTATTACTCGCAAAATTCAGAACTATACGAACTATACGAACTATACCTATTATACAAGTCATCCATGTCTATTATGTTTCACCTTGTTTGGATTTTTAAACTTTGTTCAAAAAATTAGTGGCTTATACCTAAAGACTTTCGAATTTAATGAATGAATAAATGTCTCTATAATAATATTTTAAAGAAATATATCGTCTTCCTATATAATGAGATTGTTAAATTAGATTTGTACAATCATTATCGAGCACATTAATGATATACAAACAAACCTTTAAGTCGTTAGTTTGGTTAAGTTCTTTGATTGATTGATACTTGTTAAAGACTAAAATTACTTTATAGCGAACAGATAATGACAATGATTGCATGCCTTTCCTACCTTTAAAAAATGATTGTAATACCTCTGTGGGGTCACAGCAAAAGTCATCAAATGATACGAGAAAGGAAGCAAAAAAATTTTGAGTGGGAAAAATATTTTTTAGAAAATAATTTAAAAGGTATTTTTTTACTGTACTAATACTTATTAATAATTATAAGATTACTGATTTATAAATCTGTCTAGAGGTAAAAAATTCGGCTGCAACGAAACATTCCTTGACTTGTAAATAATCATCTAGTGTTCTTTATCATCCCTGTGGTTGACTGTACGTTAATTTATTTTTTGTTCTTTACGCACTAGTGCAACACAATATTTCGCTAAAGTTCCAGTCACTGTACCTATATTTTATATTGTAGGAGCAATAATTTACATTTGAAATTTTGAAATTGTCTACCGTAACGAAATTAAAATTTACCAATCAATTGATTTAACTGATCAACTGATTATAATAATTCACTGATTTTTATAATTTATGATTTTTTTATAGAAAAAAATTTGTTGCTCAAAATTTTTGGATCGTTGACCACTAATAGATTTGGCCTATTAAACCTAGCACTAACCAACCTTTTTTGATGTATATAATGAATTTTGACCCATAGAATTGACCCCACACTAAATATATTAATATAAATTAATTGACCTAAAAAATTTATTTTCCAGCTGCGGCAGTAATCTATCTATACTAGTACTAGTAATACTAGTAATACTATGAAGTTTGTGGGAGCATAATGATGATCGAACAATAATTTAAAAATTTTTCAGAAATAAAGAAAATGAAAATCAAAGGAAACACGTTCATCGTTACTGGAGGGTAAAGATAAATTAATTAATAAAAATGTAGAGTGAATGAATGAATGAAATGAAGAATGGGAATCTAAAATTTCTTAATTTGGTTTTTTTAATTAATCAAGTGGAAGTGGTTTAGGTTTAAGCACTGCACAGGAATTATTGAAAATTGGAGCGAACGTTGTGGTAATTATTTATTTAATAATGATAGAATTGATTTTATAAATAAATTGTTTACTTATTTATCCACCAGATCCTCGATATAAATGATAATAATAAATCGATATTTGGTGACCATCAAGATAAAGTATTATTTGTAAAAACTGATATTACATCCGAGGTATTATTTATATAATTTTTTAAATATTCTGAATCTTTAATTTCTTGCAAAAAAAAAAAATAATATTTTATTTTATTTATATCTAGAAAGATGTAAAGCAAGCAATTTCTTTAACAATTAATAAATTTGGCGAGACAATCAGAGGACTTGTGAATTGTGGAGGTATATCACCTGCAGCTTGTAGAGTAAGCATCGTCAATTTAATGATGGGTTCATCATATGTTAATCAGATCAGAGTTAATTCTATATTTATTGTTAATTTACGTTTTTTTCTCTCTAGATTGCTAATAAAAATGGAATGGCACTCGATTTAGAAGTGTTTAAAAAAGTTATAAATGTTAATTTGGTAAATAAATAAATCAGTTGGTTAATTAATTAATGATATTAAAATGCTAAATTCTTTTGTTTTTATTAAAGATTGGTACATTCAATGTATCAAGATTAGTAGCTTCACAAATGATTAAGCAAAAACCAATGGAAGAAGGTATTAAATAAATTATTGTATTTTCATATTAAATATTACTATATCTTACCACTATTAATATTATTGTTGTTATTATTAGGTGAAAGAGGGGTCATAATAAATGTTTCATCAATCGCAGCAATAGAAGGTCAATTAGGTCAAACTGCTTATTCTGCATCTAAAGGTGGTGTTTCATCGATGACATTACCTATGGCAAGAGATTTAGCGAAATTTGGAATTAGAGCTGCAGCTATTGCGCCTGGAATCTTTGGTAATTCGTTGTTGTTTTTGTTGTTGATGGTAGTGGATTTATAAAATCTTTTTTTTTAATTTTTGTTTCTGTTGTTATTGTTCAGCTACGCCGATGGCCAAATTATCTAGTTCAAATAAATTTGAAGATTATGTTGTTGGATCAATGGAATTTCCTGCCAGACTTGGTAAAGCTGAAGGTGGGTAAATTTATTTTTTTTTCCTCTTTAACATTATATATAATTAGTATTTATTTGTTTATTTGTGATTCATTTATTTAGAATGTGCAAAATTAGCAATTCACATTATTGAAAATATTTATATAAATGGAGAAATTATTAGAATAGATGCTGGTATTAGACTTGGTAAGTTGTAGTAGTAATAATTGTAGTAGTAGTAGTAGTAACAATAATAACAGTGTTGTTATTTTAATAATATTAATGATGATAAAACACAAAAAATTTCATCATTTATTCTATTTATTCTTTATTTTGTAAATTTATAATCATGTAAAAATAAATAATTTTTTACATAATTATAAATTTACATATGATGGATGTCTGATAATCTGGTATGTCCAAGAAGTGATATCAAAACATATATTGTTGTTGCAACTCTTTGCTATAAATTTCATGATTTCTTATGATATTGTTTTTTTTGTTATTCATTCATATAATCTATTATCTATCAAGCTCTCTATGCTTATTTTTTCTTGTGATAACTCTAGAAAATATTCTTTTCTTTGACATCTGATAGGTCTCACTATGCATCAATTGAAGATATTTGAAAGAAAATTAGAATTTGTGTGAGTTAGCAAATCTCACAATCCAGTTTTATGTTATCATCATGATCAAAGCCTTTTGGGTATTATAATAAATTTCTGTAACTTTTTATTTGATGAGAGGCCTTAAAACAGAACAAAGAGTATTAATCCTTATGGTCTGTAATTTCCTAACCCTCATCAAAATTAACTATCGAACAAAAATCATTTTTAACATTGAAAAGGAGCAATGTCAGTCTTGTGATTTCATTCAATTAAAATGACAAACCAGTTTATCTTCAGTACGTCATGCGCGATCCATATTCACGCAGGAAGTCATTCATCTTAATCATTATTCTTCTTTGCAATAAAAGTTTATCTGAAGCACCCAAACTTCAGGAATTCTAATATTTGCTATGAAAATCACCAGTCGATTGATTATTGCTCTGCTTCACAATTGATAAGGAAGGTGCCTCTTTATTGTTGTTACTATATTGCCTCGAGAAATGTTTTTCTATCTAGATCGCGCCTTTTATAGTATTTACAATTTCTTTTTGCAATCTATTTATTGCCCAACGTCTGTAAATTAAATATCGGTTATGCAAAAGAATCAACCTACATCAAAATTTTGTTCCTCGCATCCATTTTTAATTTCCTTGATGACATGTGATACTTATGAACATAATAATAATAAAATATAAAAACTTGGATCAAAAAAAAAAGTGGAAAAGTTACAAGAGCTGATAGAATAAGTTATAACAAGAAATTTATTTAATACAAATATAATTTTATAATTATAATTCAAATCTAAAAATCTATAAATAAAAAAAAAATAAATTATATCGTTGTCAAAAATTAAACAAGAAAAAAAACTCTATTAATAATATCCATTTTTTCCCGAAAATCTTTCTCGCCAACCATCTAATAATTCATTCATAAAAATACTCTATTATCAAAATAACTTCCCAAAACCTTTAAATTCATACAATATTTGCATAAATTATCTAACGCCTTTTGAATTTTATAATCATCTTTGTTACCCTCCAACTCAACAAAAAATACATAATGCCATAATCTTTGTAACGAAGGCCTTGAATCAATTTTTGTTAGACCAATGTTGAGATCTTTAAATATTTTTAAACTGTCACATAATGCATTTGATGATTTATTATCAACCGTAAATGAAATTAAAGTTTTATTACTACAATGATTGTTGTTATTGCAGCCATTGCTGCTGCTTTTGGTGGTGATGGTTTTTTTGATAGTGTTGAGGTTTTGATTAAAGGTTAAATTAGTGATATTTGGATTAATCAGAATAAAAAATCTTGTCGTATTATCTAACAATAATAATAATATAATAATAATATATAGTAAGATAAAATACAATAATATATGTTATGCAAAGTATAAGAATTACCATTTTTATCCTGAATGTTTGTTTCCAATACCTTCAAACCATATAATTTTGAACATATGATACTTGATATTGCAGCAGAGCCAGGTTCTGAAGCAGATAATTCAGCTGCATGACTAGTGGATGAAGACTCCACACGTGCAACATGTTTAAGATGTTGATCTAACCAATTTTGACACTGACCAAAGGCCTTTATTTTTTTTATTAATCATTGTTTCGATTAAAAGATGAAAATGAAAATGTAGATGAGAATATAGAAATAATAATAATAATGATAATTATAATGATAATAATAATAATAAATTTACTTGTGGGTGACTATATATTTTTCTTATTGAGTTAATTGGTGAATTGGAAAGTAAACAATGGCTCACCTAAAATCAATTAATGTATTATCAGAGATAATTATTCGGCAATAAATACAACAAGAATAATAAAATATACTAGTGTTGCATACAGTCAAACAAATTTCCTCGATTATTTGAGTTTCAGTGTTAATAAATTTATCAAGAGTCGTAACAACTGATCCGAATGTAGAATTTTCAAAAGGTACAATTCCATAAGTTGTAAGACCTTTCTCGACTGCTTCAAAAACATCTTTTAAAATAAATAAATAATAATCGATGATTTAATTTGTAGAACAAATAACCTGATAGTTTAATTACTTATTGATTATCATATATTTCATAGTACTCACCAGCAATGGTCACTTGTGGAATATAACGAATCTCATTACCGAATCTTTCATGTGCTGCCTAATACACACACACACACATGTATATAATGAATATGAATTGAAAAAAGAAAATTTGTATAAACGATGCACATTATCATATATGAAGATGCAATCATTCATACCTGATGAGTGTATGAGCCTGCAGGTCCAAAGTATGCAATAGAAGCATTTTGATTTGACATGTTATTCATTATTTGATTACTATACTGACTATATATAGTTAATTATTTTAATTAAACAAAATAATCGTCGACACAAAATGTTGATCAAAAATAAATGAATAAATGACCAACTAAATCGGTAAGGTCATTCGAGTGGAAAAATATCACGTGAAAGTAGTTTTGACCAATGAGAATTACTGTGCAGGTCACCTTAATCAATTAATAGTAACAATTGGACAGCTCCGAAACACTAGGCTCCAACATACCGTACTATTAATATTGAAAAAGAGGCTCTCCTAATAATTGGTCATTCATTATTATATGTTTTCCCACTTTTTAACTGATGTAATAATACGTGCATTTTGTAAGAAATAACGGTTTCTATAATTAAAGCAATCTCCAGTTCCAATTTTCTTGCATTCAGATCACTAGATTCTAGATTGTATCAAATTTAAGTATGTAGAAATCTCCACTCTCATAACGATTGGTACACAAAAATTATGTTAATTTCATGTACTCGACATAGTGGTTGTATCCGGATAATCGGTCAAATTAAAAATTTAGCACCCGAATAATCGGTGATTTGATTTGGCTTTGTTCGAATCTAAATTCAAATATATACCATATGAAATAGTTTTGAATTCTGGATAAAAGAGTTGCCTTTGGAAATAAAAGGTTTCGAAAGTCAAAAAAAAAGAAATGTTTACTAGTGCAATAATTGCATTTGGCTTTTTTATCTATAACTGTGAAATGGTTCCACACTTCACTTCTTGACTTTTTATTTGTTATCGTTATTAATATTAATATGCAGAATTTCTATTCGTAATACAAATTCTATTCAAATTATTCGTTTATTCGTTTTATAAACATTCAATCTATTTCGAATATTCAACTTCATAACGAATAAAACAAATCATTCGAATAAACCTTATTCCCCTATTAATAAGAAATTTAGAAATCCGAATCGAATCACAACTCGATTCGATTAGCTCGGAGCCTTACCGCTGAATATTTGATTCTAAAGTCTGTGGAAATAAAATAGTATGTTATCTATTTTATATTTATTCATTCAATTAAAAATATTTGTTCTTTTTTTATGTTTTGTATTATTAATTAGTATTACTATTTATTGATTACTATTATTATTTTCAACGCCCGATTAACCGAATAGTCGGTGAATATTAATATTAATATTAATATCATTCGGCGGATGTAACCACTTACGTAGTTGACTTATTTGGTAATGTTTGTTGCAGTTCTTTCGCTTTTTATTTTCTATATATATACATCTTTTTATTAAATAATAATAAACTAATTAAATTTAAAAAAAAAAGAAAAAAAGAATGTTTTCAGAAAAATATGCTGTTGTAGTTGGTATAGGTACTTATACGTGTGTATTTATATATGTACAGTAGTAATCACCTAGTATATTAATTTCTTTACTAATAAACTTTAGATTTTGGAACATCAGCAAGTTCCTTTGCATATGCTTACAAAATTGGTTCGTCAAAGCCGGAAATAGTAACCCATGATAAATGGCCAGACCAACCTGGTGGTGGTGTGTTTAAAACCGACACAGCATTACTATATGATACACAAACTTGGAGTATTGCTGCATGGGGAGCAAGTGCAATGGTTTGTAAACCTGAAAAAAAGAAAAGAAAAAACCAAAAGAATAACAATGATGTTGTTTGCGGCGATGGTGGTAGCGTTATAGCGCCTAAAAAAGGAGGATTATGGGGTCCTAATAGTACATTGCTTATTGGTGATAGCAACAATATTAATATTAATAGTCCAAAGACAATATCAGCCACCATGTTCAAATTACATTTGGCTGATTTGAAGCAAGAAGATAAACCACATTTACCTATGAATATCGACTATAGAAAATGTATCATGGATTATATGTCTGAAATGACAAAGGTATAATTACAATTATCTGTCAATACGATTATTTTGAAAAAAAAAGTCTTTACTTTCATATTTATATTTATTTATTGTCTATTTTTATAGTTAATACGGACAACTATAGCAACAAGATGGCCAAGTAAGCAATCAATCAAATCTCATTGATATTTTTTATATAGAATAAATGATAAACTTTTATTTATATTTATTTATTTTAGATGTAGATTTTTATCGTAATGTCCTAATAGTATTAACAGGTAAATCTTGTGTTTATGTTAGATTATATTATATATATTTATATACATATATGTAATATAAATTAGATAAAATTTGATCCTAATATCTTTATTATATTTTAGTTCCTGCAACATACTCGGAAAGATCAAAAGCAATATTACGTGAATGTGTTTGGCGTGTAGGCCTAATCGAATCCATAAATGCAAAGAATCTTGAATTCACTACAGAACGTATGAATTGACACTCAATTTGTTTCCTCATTAACTAATAATGATATATGTCTTATAATAATAATAATAGTATTTTTAAAAATCTATTTCAGCTGAAGCTGCTGCTATTGATTGCATTCCACTGCTAAAACAATATGGATTAAAGAGCGGAAGTAAGCAAATTGGTTTATTGATTAATTAATCGTTATTTGTTATGACACCAATTAATATTAATATTTGAATATTTTTTATCAATTTGAATTAAAAAAAAAAAAGCAAACTTTATGATAGTAGACTGTGGTGGGGGCGCAGTAGATTTAACAATGAGGCAACTTAATAACGAAGGAAAAATAAGTGAAATAACGGAGAGAACGACTGATTATTGTGGATCAACTTATGTTGATAAAGAATTTGTTAAATATCTTTTTAAAAAATTTGGATTATTTAATGCAATACAAAAACTTAAAGACAATCATTATGAACAATTTCAATATTTAGTAAAACAATTTTCTGATAAGGTTAAAATACCATTCACCAACAATGGGTTCAAACCTATCGATTTAGATTTGCAGGATTGTTGTCCGGCACTTATGAATTTTGTAGAAGGAGACGTTAAAAATAGATTAGATGAATTAGATTGGATTATCGAATTTAATTTTGAATTAGTTAAATCATTTTTTGATCCAGTGATTCAACGAATTGTTTGGTTAATAGAAAATCATTTAAAATCATCAAAAAGGAAATGCGGTGCAATGTTTTTGGTCGGTGGATTTAGTGAATCGCCGTACCTATTACATCAGATAAGATCATATTTTCATCGTTCAATACCAAATATTGGTGTTCCAAAACAGCCTATATCATCAATTGTTCGAGGTGCAGTACAGTATGGATTAGATATGAGAACGGTGACAACAAGAGTTTTACGATACACATATGGTGTTCAAGTGTTGGATAAATGGAATAAGAACGTAGATCCGCCAAATAGAAGAATGCCAAGTGGCCATGTTTATGTGTTTCATAAAATGGCACAAAGAGGCACATCGGTGGAAGTTAATCATTCAATTGGATATGTGGCAAGGCCTTCAAATCCAAATCAAACCGATATGGCTTTTAATATTTTTTCTACACCAGCATCGAGTGCAAGATTTTGTGACGAGCCAGGAATGAGATCATTGGGTACTTTAAAAATTGACTTGTCAGATATTAATCTTGGGGCCAAACGATTAGTGGAATTTTCTTTAACTTTTGGAGCTATGGAAATTAAAGCTACTGCTAAAAATAAAAAAACAGGAGTAATTTATCAAACAAATTTACAACTAGAATTTTAATGTTTATTTATTTTATCATTGTATTTTTCATTGTAATTTTTAGAAAATAAATGCATAGAGCAACATAATGACAATTTTATCAGAATGGTTGTAACTACTAAATTCCTTTTATTGTGGAATTAATAGCAGAAATTCAAAATTTTGTATTAATGGCGCATTAGAATTTATAACATAGAAAATCATAATAATTTATTATTACAAACCAAAATTTATTTCCATTTATTATTTTATGAATGAAAATCATTAACAATTGGAGGAGTTTATAATAATAATATATATATAGTCTGTTGGTTATATAAATTGGATGTATTCGAATTATTCATTTGTTCGTTTATTCAAATTATACCGTTTTATTCTAATTAATTGAATTACTCGTTTTATTCGGTTTATTCATTTTATTCGAACTATTCAAATCACTCATTTTATTCGGATTATTTGTTTATTCGAACTATTCAAATCACTCATTTTATTCGGATTATTCGTTTTATTCGTATCGCTCGCTTATTCGTTTTGTTCGAATTATTCGTTTATTCGTTTTTTAGTTTTAGTTTTAATCGAATTATTCGTTTATTTGTTCTATTTAAATTATCTAATTATTTGCTTTATTTGTTTATTCGTTTTATTCGAATTATCGAATTATTCGTTATTCATTTTATTCAAATAATAAACTTTCAATTTGAATACTCAAATTCATAACGAGCAAAACAAATAATTTGAATAAACCTTATTCGAATAGAAACCCTAGTTGTATATAATGATTTTAATTTAGTTTGAACATTATTGTCTAAATGTATGCCAGATTTGGTGACTCTATAATAGGCCGTAAATAATTATGGCATTACAGTTTTATGACTTTAATATTAATGCCATGCCGAATGTCTGTAAATTATTATTATGTTTCTGTCACATTTAGTAATACTCTATTAAATAAATAAAAAAAGCTCAAAATTTTAATTAAAACCTATCTACCCCACCGATTTACATGTCTCTGTCACAATGACAAACCACCACAAATTCTTTGAACATTAGCTGAACCAGTGCATCATAATCTTGCATGAAGCAATGACGTTGATATCTTTCTTTGTAAGCTATTCAATGTTTCATCAACATCAAAAAATCTCGCTTTCCTATATGATCACCTCTTGTTAAGTCTGACAAGCTCTTCTAGATCAGTGTGCTTTATCGGCTAGCTATATATGCGTTTTGAACCGTCTTTTCTATTTGAAATCAAATCGATATCAACAGTAATATACATTATCTGAAACTAAAATGCAACGTGAATTGTTTACAATTTATTGTTTTTTTTTTGAGTTTGTAGAGCAACAGTATAATATTTTTCAAATGGCAAAACAAGTCAATTTTTAGAAATGTTTAAGTTAATTATTAACTCAAACTCATTTTTATTATTATTCTTTGTTCATAAAAAAATAAATAGGAAGAGATGTTCTCCATTTTAATTGTTATATCTATACCAAGTTTTTTATTTGGTGCGCATTTTCATAATCTTAGAGAATCCCCTTTTCTTGTTCGTACGTATCTCCGTTTGTGTTATAAGGGATTTTTCTTTTTTGCTCATTGGGATAATAGAGAATGCCTTTAGGAAAATTAAGAATCGCTACCCTTTCTTTTTTCCTTGATTTTTTCTCAAGAAACAAGATTTCATTATGCTCTTGAGGTGTCCTTTTTAATACTGATCTTCTATGAACTGTTATGAGATTTTTGCATCACATCTGTCCCGAGTAGTGTTGTTCTCCGAAAATTATTTCTAGCTCCGGCTTAGGCACTGATTCGGGATCGCTATCAGGAATATTTGTTTTGGTTTTTCTTTTCCGCTTTCTTTTTGCACTCTTTGTTCTTCCCTTCTTTGGGGTTTACTGATTGACTCGGTAGGGCTCTTCGGATTTGTGCAATCATATATTTTTCAAGTATGAGAGCCTTTCCCTAATTTTTTTTGTTGTAGTTTGTTGTCGGCGAATAATATCTATGAGGCCATTAAATCCACTTAAATCCAATACAAAGAAGAGATTTGGGTTAATATTGAAAGTTCTGCATTTTCAACCTTGTCATCGCTTTCAACGATCTAATCATTATTCTATAATGTATATTGTCTTTTGTTATTTTAGGATGAGAGTTGGAATAATTTAAAGATTCAAGGAGGAATGGGATATCTTAAAGGATTAAATCCAATATTTATCATATCAAATACAACACTCAATCCATTCAATCTATCAGTAAAAATTAATCCAGCGGCAATCGCCTGACAACTTGCAATTACCAGTAACAAAGAATTTGAAAAAAAATTGATGGCGAAAAGGATTATTTAAAATTCAGGTAAAAATAATGTTGTTTACGACAGTTGTAAAACTATTACGTCAAATACGCAAGTAAAATTGCTTTAAAGGCGAATAAAATATAAAAGTTCGCAAAAAAAAACTTATATATATTTTTTTTAATATTTCCCAATTTCCTCTCTTGTTTCATCAGTTATTCTCGAGGAACCAAGTTTTCTTTTGCTGAATGCAAATTCAATTCCCACACACTCATTTACCACTAAACTTGAACATTTCTTATATTAATTAATATTAATAACGTGATAAATGATAAAATCATCGATTAGGGATTCAGTACTTTATGTTCCAGGGTCAACTAATTTTAGTATATCAAATGAAAATTTTACGCAAAAGCTTTTTATAATTATTATTGTGTAAATAATTATAATGTCAACATTGATTGATTAAGTTACTTTGCAATAATAAACTCACCCATATTTATCTTTATCTTTATTGTAGGATCAACGAAAACTTCGTTAAAGATAACTTCTGGTCTTCGCTTGAAAGAGCATAATTTTTGGTCCACAAAGAGGATAATTAACATCTAATAAAATAAAACTCTGTAATAAGACACGCACGCACACACTCTCTAATAGAATCATTATTTTTATTAATTGTTAATAAATTTTTAAAAATAAAATAAAATAACCCCGTTTCTTTGTTTATAGTGCTTCGATAAAAGAAACAAATGTATTTAGTGCCTTGGTAAAAGGTAATAATTGTGGAGCTTTGGTAAAAGGCCATATTTATTTGCTTTAATGAGCAAGCATGCAAGGTTAGGATTAACGTTGGTTAACTAGTGAGTGTTAACAGTGATTAGTAACGTAACCTGCTTTAGCGAGTAAGCAAAGGTTGTGGGTGTTAATGAGATATTGTCTAAAGGTTAATAAAAATGTTATTGTAATCGTAAATGTAAGGCTGTTAAACAAGCTACTTAAGTTGTTTTGCAAGTAAACCAAGACGAGTTTGAAATCGGCCAATAAATGTAAACAAGGGAAACAACTAAAACAAATCAATCACAAGTGAATAAATAAAAGACTTTATAGTATTGCAAAAGGCCATATTTTGTTTATTTACAGTTATCTGGTGCTATTAAGTGTGCTCACAAATTCGTCTAGGTGCAAGAAAGAGGGAACTCGTAAACTAATTAATTATCAAGAGTAGCCCAAAAGTTAACTCATAATTGTTAATTAACCGAAATGATACCTCGCAATATCACCATTTAACAAGAATCGAAGAATTGTAAAAGTTTATTTCAAAATATTGTTACAAGATAATAAATAAAATAAGGATGAAATAAAAAGATAAATAAAAATAAGATAATAAATTTATAGTGGAGATTAAATTACTATTATTACTAGAACCTAATTGATTAATTAATATTGTAGTAATGGATAGTAATTTCCAATTAATTAATAATGAAGTTTTTTTTACCTTTGTTAACATTTAGAAAAAAGAGTCACAATCAAGATTATTTAACGAACTATTACTTGTAATTTTTAAGCTTTTAAATTTAGCAATC